TATCCTGTGTTTGGTGGTGGTCACGATCAGTATATTCAAAATTGTGTCTCACCTTTCAAAGATGTTGAAGGTCTCTGTCATACCTTTCGATTCAACATGTACCATAATATACGATTCATTGATGTTCAAAAAAAGTCAATTATCCCTTGTACACCTTTGGCCATTGTTAAAGTAAGTTTCTCCAATTGTGATTGATTGTCCTTCAATCATTGCAATCATATCTTAGCAAATGGTTAGGTAAAGTTATAATTTTATACACAATAATTAACAAGACATCATAAGACAAATCTTATGACTTTGGTTTTACTGATGGTAATTTTTAAATAATGATGTTTAATGTTTCTACCTCTGCAACCAAGTTTATCTCAAACTAAATTTGCTTTGATTGTATTGCATTACAATTTAAACATCTTAAATTTAATCTTTTTGCACTAATGCTCAATCATTTTCTCAACAGATCCTTGATCACCTTGGTGTCTATAATCATGAGTTTGATTATGGAGATCAGTTGAATGGAAAAGTGATAACAGTTATAAATCGAAGTGAAGTAGTCGGTCGTCCCCTTGCTGCCTTATTAGCCAATGATGGAGCCAAAACATATTCAGTAGATTTGGATGGAATCCTTCAATTTCATCGAGGACCAGGAAAACAAAAACACCGAGTAACCTCAACCGATAAAACTTTGAAAGATGTTTTACCAGTATCAGATGTTGTTATTGCTGGTGTACCAGATAAAAAGTTCAAAGTACCAACAGAGTTGCTTAAACCTGGGGTAGTTGCAATCAATTTTTCAACAGATAGAAATTTTCCCGACTCTGTAAAGGAAAAAGCTTCTGTATTCGTTCCTGCCATAGGAAAGATGACCATTGTTATGTTACAAAGAAATTTGATGAGGCTTTACGATTATCGAAGAGATGCCCCTTTTCGTTTCCGATTCTCGTAATTGAAGATATTAAAGAAAATTCAAATTATAAATGTTTGATAAAATGACGAAATTTATTAAAATTTATTTACTTGTGATTTACTAGCAAATTAATACCTTTTTTGCATTTTATTTAAACATTGTTGAGATTCAATGTGTTGACCAAAAGCTGTTCGATAACGTACTTTAGTCTTACAAATTACGCAAATCATGCGAAATAAAAAACTTTGAACATGAGTGTCCAAAAGACTTTTTTCACGAGACTTTCTGTCAACAAACTTGCATTTTCCATTGTGCATGGTACAAGAAAACAGATTTGTTTGATTTTCGGACTTTTTTAAGCTTATAAACTTGTTTATATGTAACGATCTTTCCTTATATGAAACGATCTTATTTGTTTCAGCCCAAACCAAAATGTATTTATAATCTTTTCCATTGTGTGGCATGCTTTGATGGCACTCGATATCCTTAAATGAAATAAACAAAAAATCAATTGATAAACTTAGAAATAATAACTTGAACATACCTCAATGTAACTATCAATTTAAATTGGGAAATTTCATCATTG